CCGGGTGCAGACCATAGCATACATCAGGCTCCCGATGGCCGAAGCATACGGCGTAACTCTCATCCTTTCTTTTTCAGAGTCATCCTTGGGCGAATCCTTGTTGGACAACTTGAACTGGCTTCCCAATGGCACTCCAACCGGCTTTGCAGCTTCCATTTTGAATCTGCACAACACCTTCTCAATATAATCAGATTGAGAAAGCCAAAGTTTACCAGCATTCCTGTCCCTCAACACAAGAGATAGAGTTCGTTCCGGTAACCTGAACTAGACAAAAAACATCGGATGTGCGCCAGAGGATCAACCAACTCTTTTCTCATCACTCGAGATCCGTAATTCCTACAGCTCTAACTAAACAGGTTGGCAGGCTGGGAAAGAAAGTCTTTTCTATTTTAGAATAGGGGGTGGTATTGATCTTTTATTCCTTCCGGGGGTTTGGCTTCACTTTCATTCCTATCCTTACTTTATTGCTTCCTGACTTGAGGAGTGAAAGGCTGGTTCGATGTAATTGACTTATAATCTCTACGATGAGAATTTCTTATAAAGAGTTTAGCAAACTCGCAGCTACCATTATGGGAGATGAGGGATTTTTGAATATTAATTACACCCCCCATCTCTTGCATAATCTCCTGATACGCTCGGGCTACTTTCTCTCCGGCAATGACTAGGTCATCTTAGAGTACCGCGTAGTCCTTGAACATCTTAGTTGGCTGTACTTTCCAGGCTGCGGCCCACACGACCATATGATGCGTCAGTGTGAACAGCGGCCATTCTTAGTAGAAGCCCAGAGGCTGACCCCTTGTAAAGCGTAAAACTTTCGCCGGACCCTTAAGCCGACGGAGAGGAGCGAGTTGGTCGAAAGTCCCATCGGTCTCTAGTTCTTTGAGAACCGACATCGTCCAGTCATGCAGCGGCTTCACCAAGCGCTGCAGGATAGGACTAGGGATAGCGAACACTCGCACCTTACCCGCACCCTCCAGCTTCAACCCGAAACGCCCCGCTTCCGGTCTCGTCTTGGTACTACTCCACCACACTGATTGTGCGGGTAGGAGGAGATTCTCAATTAGAGACCTAAACATCCTTGAGTCGATGCTGCTTTTTGGGATCGGACCGTCTCCACCATCTGTGAGCAAGAACTCACGAGGTTCGTACAGCATAGAAAAAATAAACGACAGCATCTCTGGTTTCCATAGAGGAAGTAGAGCAGTGGCGTCTAAAGGTAGTGTATGGTATATAGATAATGAATATCTATTACCACCCCCTTGACCTCGATCGCTTAATCCTATTAACCTGGTTCCACATCCAACCTCTCCTTTCGCTAAGAGTTCAATGTAATCAAACCTCTCCTTGAAGTCGAGCTATTTCGTGCACCCTACTCCCACTTGAAGAGGCAGTAGGAGATAGATCCATTCCTTCCACTTCGTTAAGATTTGGTCTTTTTATCTGGCAGAAGTTTATGAACACAGTTCGAATACAAGAAACCAATGGGATATCTTGCACCTGAGTATGTTTATTCGGCCCACCGAGAAGACAGATGTTTACAGCTTTGGTGTGGTAGTGTTAGAGGTGGCAACAGGGATAAGGCCTAAGCATAAACCTCTTCAAGCTTGCCTTCCCGAATTTCTAATAATCTCAAAGGCAAAAGCTTTAATTCTTTCTTTTCTTTGTTCCTTGGGTCCCTAGGGAATATCCTTCGCTTTTCTTAGTTAGATTGATCCCTATCTGCTTCTTAGCTTAGTCGAAAGCTAGAGATTGATTGTATTATATAAGGAATTATGAGGGGAATTCCTGAACTGAGGCAATACTTATGACTGAACTTCTAAAGATTACATTGACCTCTCCTCCATAGTGGTGGGGGATAGCCAAGCCAAAGATGCTACTTCCCAGCC